CGTTTATTTATTTTTGGGACAGAGAGAGACAGAGCATGAACGGGGGAGGGGCAGAGAGAGAGGGAGACACAGAATCGGAAACCGGCTCCAGGCTCTGAGCCATCAGCCCAGAGCCTGACGCGGGGCTCGAACTCACGGACCGCGAGATCGTGACCTGGCTGAAGTCGGACGCTTAACCGACTGCGCCACCCAGGCGCCCCTACATAGCTTTTACCTACCAATGCTAGTTCTCGATCTCGGTTTCGGATGGAACAAGTCTGGTCTTTATTGTGATGATCCTTCAGATATTTGAAGACAATTACACTCTCTTCCTTCTGGTCTCCTTTGCTCCCTGTTAATACCCCCAATTATATCACATATTCCTCTTACCTCAGGGTGTCAATTCTCTACCTTTCTGGGGACTCTAGCTGGCTCCAGGATGACTGTGAATTTATGTGTTTCCCAGCTTGTCCAGCCGAGAGGAACTTTTGGGCCTGTTCTGTCAGTTGCTCTCATGCCTACTGGTGCAGCCTGAGAGCCCTTTGTCGACACGTACAGACTGTCTGCTGAGGTCCTCCCTTCTTTCTCCTGAATGGCACCCATCATGTGTTTCTAGCATCCATTCTGTTGCTTGTCAGTTGAAAGTCGAAAACATACATTCAGTCCTTGTATAATTGTATTTCTGACCGAAAGTTTTATCCCTGTTGAGTTTCTTCTTGTTAGAGAAGGTCTTTTTGTGAATCCTGATTCTCCTCATGTGAGATGTCCAATATGTGAGATCTCCTCCCCATGTATTTGTGACCCTAAGTTTATGCTGTTGATGAAATTAAAATAAGATGAGGGGTACCTGGGTGGCTCTGTCTGTTAAGTGTCCAACTTTGGCTCAGGTCATCATCTCATGGTTTGTGGGTTCGAGTCTTGCATCGGGCTCTGTTCTGAGAGCTCAGAGCCTGGAGCCTGCTTCAGATTCTGTGTCTCCCTCTCTCTCTGTCCCTCCCCCTCTCACTCTCTGTGTCTGCAGACTAAGAAATAAACATTAAAAACATTTTTTTTTTTAATTTAAAATAGGATGAGCTGGCTCCTGTGAGAATCAGCTGAAATAAGAGACAGAATTCCCTAACGTAGTGAATGGCTTGGAGAGGGTTCTCAGCAAAGGCCAGATCCTTTCTTGTCCCTGTCCCCATGCCTCTTCTGTCTCCACTCTGTGGCTGCTGCCATCAAGATGTGGGTGTGCTGTGACCCAGAGAGGTCTGGGTCCCTTATTACTTTCAGTAGAAGAGAGAGTGTGGGATTATAGTATCGTCCAATCATAATTCCATCTCTCTTGGAACCTAGGAACAGTTTTTGTGGTTATTTTTTCTATTTTAATTATACTCTACAATTTCTAGAAATACAGATTGCAAGGCACTATGATTTAAAATTTAAATAACACGGGGCACCTGGGTGGCTCAGTCGGTTAAGCGTCCAACTTTGGCTCAGGTCGTGATCTCACGGTTTGTGAGTTCGAGCCCTGCACTGGGCTCTGTGCTGACAGCTCGGAGCCTGGAGCCTGCTTCGGATTCTGTGTCTCCCTCCCTCTCTCTGTCCCTCCCCCGCTCATGCTGTGTCTCTGTTTCTCTCAAAATAAAAAAAAGAAACAAACATTTTTTAAAAAAGAAAATAGGGGCGCCTGGGTGGCGCAGTCGGTTAAGCGTCCGACTTCAGCCAGGTCACGATCTCACGGTCCGTGAGTTCGAGCCCCGCGTCAGGCTCTGGGCTGATGGCTCGGAGCCTGGAGCCTGTTTCCGATTCTGTGTCTCCCTCTCTCTCTGCCCCTCCCCCGTTCATGCTCTGTCTCTCTCTGTCCCAAAAATAAATAAAAAACGTTGAAAAAAAAATAAAAAAGAAAAAATAAAATAAAATTTAAATAACAGACTTTCAGGAGAGGGTCTGTGAAAAATCCCTTTCACAATTGTAGATACGCACCCTCGAAGCTGTGTCTTTCTTAGGGTACAGTGGCCTTCAGGAATCTCAGGTGAGAACGTGAGAACGAGAGGATATGTAAGTCCCGTTTGCTTCCCATAAGAAGGAAGAGGCTCTCTGTGAGTGGGGATAGGGGTGCCAGATCTCAAAAAGGGGATTTCCCAGAGAGTCTCCAGTAGGCCACTTAACTATGTGTTCCTGTTTCCTCAGCTGTCATGTGTGTAAAATAAGATATAGCTAGGGGTGTTGTGAGAACGAAAGACGTGACAGGTAAATCACTTTCTCTGGTTTCAGGCATGTAGCGGAGACTCGATGAACATCAGTCTCTTTTCTCCCGCTGCTGAGACCACAGTGCCTTTGCACTGCGCAGACAGTGGGCGGGGGGCCGAGGTTGCCTGCTCAGAAGACTGACAGCTTTTTGTGGCTTTTGTGAACTGCTGACGTTACATGAGATGTTGCTTCTTTTCAAAGGCTCAACCACTCTAGGGGAGCCAAACATTTATGAAATAGTAAATTTTAAGAATTAGGGGGAAAGATCACATAGTAAATGCTAGGTACCTTTCCCCTGTTAGTTTTAGTGTTTATGTGTGTGGACACAGGTCATTTGGGAGACTTGACTTTAAAATGAAAAATAAATTTTTTTAAGTTTATTTATTTTTGAGAGAGAGAGCGAGTGAGAGAGTGAGCATGAGTTGGGAAGGAGCAGAGAGAGGGAGAGAGAGAATCCTAAGCAGGTTCTGTGCTGTTAGCATGAAGCCCGACGTGGGGCTCGATCTCACAGACCTGAGCTGAAATCAAGCATCGGACGCTTAAGCGA